CAAAAGTAATGAAATACAGCAGATGCTGCAGGGAGCACCTTACAACCTTTGTTTGGTCATCTCAATTAGTAACTGGGTAGAGTTATGATTGGCGAAAGTGCTATTTTGTCCATGCAACACAAACTGGATACTCAAAGGACTGCAATGAAAGAGATGCTTACTATACATCACTGATGTTTGAGTGTTTAGCTGCACTTGTGAGGTAATGTTTGAGAACCTTGGAATAGTATTTCAATGCCTAAGAAGTTCAAGCTTGAAAATGAAGTCCATAAAGTGTTTGTTCATGTGAATGGAGGTGTAGTTCCTTGACCAAACTGTAGGGAGAAACAGAGTATTGACAGACCCAACTAAGATAGCCACAATGAAATACTGGCCCTGATCTAGGACAAAACAAGGGATTTTCAGTTTTCTTGGTTTTGCATCATACTATCTACAATGTTGACTAATTTCTTGACAGTAATAGCACCATTGTCAGCTCTCACGAAAGTGGAAGTGCTCTTTGATTGGAGCAAGAAGTGTGACTAAGCATTCCAACCCCTAAAGATTGCTTTAGTGCATGCTCCAGTGCTAGCCTATCCCTGTCACTGATGCTGCTGATAAAATAGTCAAGCAGTATTGTCACAGATGCAGGAAAAAGTAGAAAGTGTAAGTGTGTACACTATTTGAATGTTCATAGCTCCTAAATGTATATAGTGCACAAGGAAAAAAGAACTGCTTGCTGTGGTCATCTTTGTGAAGCATTTTGTCAATACTTGTAGGGTAGAAGGCTCAGCATTCGAGTGGACCATGCTTCACTGAAGAGGTTAATGAACATTACAAATCCAAAGGGGTTGGTAGCACGTTGCATAACAACATTAAAAAATATGACTTTGTCATAATTCATCACCTGGATTTATAACATGGAAATGAAACAAACTATCTCACTGTATGGTGAGACCTTACCCATTAGTGAAATGTCACAATCTTGGACACCATGTGGAAATTAAAACCATGTTTGTATCAGCCATAGTGAAATCAAGCCATAAACTAGGCAACTTCACTGAATGCCAAGGCTAATGCTTTGGGAGCTCTAAGACAAGCAACTGGAGAATTTTGACCTAGAGTACGTGCTCCTTACAGTCCAGGAAGAGTAAGCTCACCACAAACTAGTGGAGGAGCATAGCATGGACGCACGTAGACTGTGGTATTTGTACAGACAATTACGAGTGCAAGAATGTGTGCTGAGAGGTGGGATGCGCTAACAGTTTTACAGCTAGTGGTCCCAAGAGCTTTATGGCAAGAGATAATCTGGACTTTGCACAACAGAAGGACCAGAGAGCACCAAGAATTTACTCACATTTGTGCTAATATCTGATGCAGGGTATTTTGACCGTGAGTGAATCGAAATGTCTGGTGCAGGTGTGAACACTGCACGTTGTGTGTCTAGAGGAAAAACAGGCCAAGACAGGTAAACTCTGACAGAAAATTGTTGGATTTCCTCTATATAGCATAGCTATGGATATTGCTGTTCCACTCCCAAAGATTACAAGGGATCACCATTACATGCTCATAGTCATTGACTTTTTTTTAAGTGGACCAAAGCATATCCATATGTTAATATGTTAATGCAGACCGTTTGTGGATACATTAGCCGAAAACTGAATAATATGGTTCAGAATACCCAAGAAAATCCAAATGGGCCAACTGTTCATCTGATTGTGTAAGATGTTGGGTATGATGAAGACTCATTCATTACATTATCATCCTAGTCTGATGGTTTGGCAGAACATATAGTGCAAACTAACAAGCAGATGCTTATAAAGTTGGTTAAACCCAATGGAACTAACTGGAGCAAAAATCTGCCATATATAATGATGATATACAGAGACATTTACATGGATCCACAGACTATTTGCTGAACCAGCTCTTGTTTGGATGGGAAGTGTCACTCTTTGTGTACGTGATATATTGTCCTCACTATGAAGTACTGTAGTGTTCCAAAAAGTATGTAGAGTGGCTAGGTCTATAATTGCTGTTGCACATGAGTATGCCTGACAACGATTTTGGAAAGCATCACAAAGACAAAAGACGTGCTATGACAAGATGGTGAAAGAATGGACTGGTGGCTGAGTGTAGTTATGGTATATGCCAGAGGCATGGAGGCAAAGTGGATTTGGCTGGACCAGTACATACCTGGTACTCCAATGAATTGGTCCTCTGACATGTGACATATGGACATAGGGCACAGAAAAGCATAAGGAGTATGTCAATAAGCTCTGTCCATATGTCACAGACAAGTCTTAAGTGCACTGTCTGGGGAAGAGACCAATGATTCAAGGGAGAAAGAGAATTCTGTCTTGAGTCCTAATAACCCAGCTAAAAAGGGAGAAAGGGCTGAAGATACTTATTTGGCAGTTCATGTTGAGTCAGATGAATAGTTTCATGAGGAGTTGCTTGTAATAGAAATTACAAACAGTTTCAACAGACAAACAAGACAACAATGTCAGCCTCCCATTCAATATGGTTGTGGTTGATCAATGTTCTACAACTATGATGGTCAGGTAGTTGGAAGGCTTACTGGCCAAAAAGGTGTAGTGACCTCTTGCTTTCTGAGCTCCAAGTAGTAAGGCAAATTACCAAATATGCAATACACCAAGTGTTTGTTGCTTGATTATGGACAGTTAGCATGATCAGCTGGTTGAAAAATCATTGATTAAAAGGACATTATGATCCTTTACCTTCCGAGGTACAGAGCAAATTTTCTGATATGAAACATCTTTTGACGTTTCAAGAAAACCACTCCAAAAATCTAGATGAGTGGTTAAAACTCTGTGGTGTGTATCACCTAGTGTTCATTGAATTTTACATTAACCTTCATGTAAGATATGTCTTATCTGTGGTCAACAAGTAAGTTCATTATTTTCTGAGAATTATTTGGAGTACAATAGTGACAACACAAATTTTATTATTTTCATCTCATCCAAAAGTCTCGGTTTGTCCTGATTTTACCAGTGATTATTTTATTTTATGAAACCTGAAATATAAATGAGTTGAGTTTGACGGCCCCTAGATGGTACAACCGTCGCTATCGACTTTAGTTTTGGCAGGTAACTCGGATGTTACCAAAGTTGACCATTCAGTAGGCAGACGCAGTCTGTATAAATTACTTGAAACATAATTGTGGCATACTTATATGACAAAACATGTGTGTGTGTGTGTAAATATACATACACGTAGATGCTTTAAACATATTATAATAAATGGGACAACCATATGCAGAGAAGGGTAATAAATAACCAAGAGAGGCTAAGGAAACAACGAGAAACCAGATAGAGCCCTGAGACAAAGAATTTGTTTTCGACATTAGGAATATTAAAGTATTAGTTTAACTATGATAAGTTATTTGGAAGGTGTTATTTGAAAATACAGTGTACTTGTGACTTTCATTAATGTCGAGAAATGTTCCAATTTCGACATTTTGCAGGTTTGTTTTGCGACAAAGAAATTCAGTATAGCAGGAGAAAGAAACAGATTAAGTGGGGTTTCAAGACCACGGTTTGACTTTTGGCTCGGACATAGTTTTATCCGGTATTTCTCGTGTGCATAGTACGAAGACATTTTAACTTGGTTTAGTTGAAAATATCTGTGAGCATGCGAAATTGTCATTAGTACATGAAATTCACAGATAATGGCTTATAGATATAATAACATATACATTCACGCAATGCACCCAGTGTTTCATTCGCTTGAGATAAAAGTGTCCTCTGCCAGGCAAATTGGGATGTTTTCAATAAGCAACTAGTTTTACTAAATATTTTATTAATGCCATTCTTTTGCAAAATACAACTTTGAAGCATGGAAACGCAGGTTGCAAATATAATACGATGAGGTGAAAGGTATCACATATGCATTGAAATATTGTAATTTGTGCCATAGTTATTACACAATTTGTAAATGGAAGAATGTTCTTAAGAGAAGAAAGTGAAAGCACTGGTAAGAGCTAACAATTAAAAGTGGATTTAGCATATCTAACTCAAATTATCTCGACATTGTAGTACCATAAATGTCTCGGACTTATTCTTCTTACTGGAACTGGGTACTACCTGTTTGACCAACAGACAGTAGGCTATAGATGAATCTGGGTCAAAGAGGCTGGTATGCATAGTTCAATTCGCCAGCATAGACAGCAGTAGGCACCATAGGAAGATCTAGTAAAACTACGGAACTGGGAAGTTATTTTCTACAGATGAGGATGGCCACGAGTATAAGTTAATCTGTAGACGTTTCGTTTGACCAGTACTTAGTTCATAGTTGTAACTAGGTGTTACAGCCCCCATTAACCTAAGCACTTTGATGGACCTATAAACCCAGTCACCCAGTCAGTCAAGTTTCGGCCTCGTCCAGCCTAGCTTTCTTTCTCAACTAGTTATCATTCCTGATGTACTTCATAATTTCAGCATAATTGGAGAGGTGGAGTGTGCTTGTTCCTCAAGCTAGGAAGCCACAGAGCTCCTGCACGATATGTGGGACTTCTAATTGATCAAGATGACAGTTGAAACCACTGAACTTGCAAAATCTAGGGTTCGTCTAACTTGTATGTGCCCGAACCACAGAAGGAGAGGCATTGATCGTCAGCAAGTCTGACATGACATAACTCATTATATTTGCTATTCCATTCTACTCTATACGCCGAAAATGAAACAATGAACAAGTTATTAGCACTCGTAATATATCTCTTTCAATTTTGTTGCTTCAAACTAATTAAAAGGATGCAATTTTAGAATAATTAATTATTTTAAAAATTGCAGAATATTATTTACTTTGTTAGATAATTTTCTTCGTCTAAAACCAAAATAAAATAACTTTCGATAGTTATTTACTAATTGTATTATACTTATACACAGAACACCTTTGTTTCTTCATTGAATAATAAAAATAATGAAATAACATTATTCCTCACACAGATTCATTAAAACATTATTAGTTTAATGTGATTTTTTTACGTGATTTATCTATCGTCACACTAGGTAGCTATCTCATCATCATCATTATAGAAATGGAAGAATTGGAAGCTAGTAATACTGTCACTAGTGGTTCGTCTACCTTTTCAGAGGATATGTGTTTGACGGTGGAGCAAAAGTTAATACGCTTAATTATTCCTCCCTTAACATTTGTTGCACATAAGGGACAGGCAGGTAGAATTGGAATCATCGGGGGATCACGAGAATATACTGGAGCTCCTTATTTTGCAGGTATTTCAGCTTTAAAAACTGGAGCTGATTTGTGTCATGTTTTTTGCACAAGTAGTGCAGCATCTGTAATAAAGTCGTATAGTCCGGAATTGATTGTACATCCAGTGTTAGACAGCTGTAATGATGGTACAGAATTTGGAGCTCTCATTTCAAAACTTCATGCTCTTGTTATTGGGCCAGGACTTGGAAGAGAAGAGAACACATTTAGCATAATGCATCAAGTTGTTGAAAAAGCCAAAGAATTACAAATGCCAATTGTGTTTGATGCTGATTCATTGTTTTATATAAATTCACATCCTGAACTCGTAGAAGGATATAAAAAGGCTGTTTTAACTCCAAATGTTGTAGAATTTTCTAGACTATACAAGGCAGTCATAGGTGCAGATTTGGGTGTTTTAGAAGATTTAAATATGCCAGTTCAAGCTCTGTCTCAGAAATTGGGAAATGTTACAATTGTTTGTAAAGGAATAGATGACATAATATCTGATGGAGATATATTAACTATGTGTAAAGAAAAGGGTAGTCCAAGACGCTGTGGGGGACAAGGAGATCTGCTGTCTGGTTCTTTGGGAACCATGCTGCATTGGGCTCATATGGCTCATGATCAAAGTGAACTAGTCAACTTTTCTAACTGGAGGCCTAATATTATAGCTGCTGTAGGAGCCTGTATGTTAACTCGAAGGTGCAATTATCTGGCTTTTCAAAAATATTCAAGAAGTATGACAACTACAGATATGATTGTAGAAATACAGTTGGCTTTTACTAGTCTTTTTTCATAAAGAAACAGTTATTTTGAAATTGCAAGTTTGTTAATATAGCATGCCTGATAACTACAGTATCAAAGAAGAACTTATCATACTGATACTAAACACCACTTATCTTCATCACCATTATGGCTAAAATGAGATACATAAAGTGTGAAATTAAAGCATATTTAAATATAAATATGAAATTTGGCAATTTTCTTTTTTCTATTGTCTGTAACTGTTATTAAGACTTAAATGTGTAGCTATCCAATTCTTTATACTAATAGGTATATAAGAAAAAGGCCCATAAATGTCAGTCTAGTAATTAGTATTAACTTCCTATTAGACCAAATTATGTACTTGGAGCAAAACTAATAATTAGCCTATCTTGTTTAAGACTCAAAGACTGATATATAACTATTTGATATCTTTGTACTGATTTGTAAGTAATTAAAATTTTCAGACTAAATTATTATCTAATAAATTTGTTTTTTATACCTGTAAGTTCTATAAGCGAAATAGTGAATTTAATAAAAGCAGTGTGTCTATCTAGCCTTGAGATTCACCAATTTGTGCTTTTGTTGTTAGTTATATTCTTTAATTTTTTAACAGAAGCTCTTAGGACTTTGTGTTTAGATGTTTTGAGTGAAATTATGTTTTGCCAGCTGAAATATGTACAATTCATGTATGAAATGTTCCAAATATGCTTATATCAAGTGTTATATTTACTGTTTTATTATTTATATTTATAGAGCATAATAGTATATCAAAACTTCCTTTTCTCAGAATATGTTTTTATTGAACTTTAACAAACTTGATTGCATGACACATTCCTTGAAAATTTATATTAGTGATTAATCTCTGGACCTGTTGCATGCTTTGAAATTTTTATTATATATTCTTTGTTTGGTGATTTTGTTTGTCAATCATTCTGTAATGAAGAGAAAAATACAAACTAATAAAAAGAAGGAAATGTATCACTTGGATTCAGAGTTTATGTGAATTGTTAAATGCCAACAATCTTTTATATTAATAAATTTTATGTAACAGTCATAATTAAAACATTAACTCCATGTTGAATTCAATATTTAAGTAAGTGAAGTGTGTGTGGGACACAATAATTGATACCCATTCAGTAACGTTTGAAAACAGTTTGGCTAGAATGTTTGATTTGATATTTATTGGAATATACAATAATGAAAAAGGTAACAAAATTTAAAAAACCCCAAAAAATAAGTACAAAAGGACAGAAAAAATAGACAATAAAACAGTGTTTTGTGACTGTTAACTTGGCATCATCAACAATATGTTACTTGTTTAGTAAAGAGTTCAATAATCATTGAAGGGTAGGTGAGGAATTGTAACAAAATGCATGTTGTTTTTACAGTGTTTCCCAAGAGGTGTGCTGCAGCATACTAGTATGCTGTAAGCTGGTAGTATGCTGTAAAAATTACGTGTTTATATAGAATTTAAATATATAAAAAAATTAAATGTGATGATTATAAGAAAATACAATCTAAAGATATTTTATTTACCACATTGTTTTTAAGGTATCTGTGTGTTTTTATTCTCACTTTGCTATGAGTGCTGAAGTTATTGGTTTGCTATTTTATTTTTTAGTACTTCCAGGTGTGCCAGGGAAGGACACTGTAATGAAGAAATTTCAACCAGAATGAGCATTATATATATGGATAATGTTTTAAGGTATGTTTGAAAATATGCAGAACTATAGAATGAGCATTATATATATATGGATAATGTTTTAAGGTATGTTTGAAAATATGCAGAACTATAGAATGAGCATTATATATACATGTATAATGTTTCAAGGTATGTTTGAAAATATGCAGAACTATAGATTGAGCATTATATATATACGGATAATGTTTTATGGTATGTTTGAAAATATGCAGAACTATAGAATGAGCATTATACAGGGGTTGGACAAAATAATGCAAACACCTAACATTTTGGAATCATAATCTTTGAACATGTTATAAACAATCAAAACTTGACATATTTTAATGTTTTATTGTTTATTTTTGTTGCTATTTGATATTTTATTTAAATTAACTGTTTTTACAGATATCTAAAAATAATTTGGTTATAACCTTATAAAAATGGCAGACCTCTCTGACTTTCAAAGAGGCCAAATTGTTGGTGCTCGTATGGCAGGTGCTAGTGTAACAGAAACTGCCCGAATGCTTGACGTTTCAAGAAGTACTGTCTCAAAACTAATGACTGCCTTTGAAAGAGAAGGAAAAACGTCCTCAGCAAAACACAGGTCTGGCAGAAAGTCGAAGTTGTGTAAGAGAGACCTTCGGACTCTAAATCGAATTGTTAGAGAGGATCGCAAGACCACAGCTCTTAAAATCACTGCAGACCTCAATGAACACCTACAGAACCCAGTTTCCACAAAAACTGTTCGTCGGGAGCTGCACAAATCTGGATTCTACGGAAGAGCTGCAATTAGAAAACCTCTGCTCTCAAAGACAAATGTTTTGAAGCATTTAGAGTGGTGTAGAAACCACCAGAATTGGTCCGTCGAGCAGTGGAAAAATGTGATTTTCTCTGACGAATCATCGTTTACCTTATTTCCGACCTCCGGCTGAGTGTACGTTTGGAGACAGCCGAAAGAAGCCTTTAATCCAGACCGCCTTCTCCCAACCATAAAACATGGCGGGGATTCTGTGATGATCTGGGGTGCTATTTCTTGCAAACCCGCCGGGCCAATGCTTTCCCTTCATGGAAGAATTAACAGCCGATACTATTTAGGAATTT